ATCTATCTATCTATCTATCTATCTATCTATCTATCTATCTATCTATCATCTGCTATCTCTCATCTACCTATCTACTTTTGTACCTATCTTTTCCATTTGAATACCAGAGGCAGGCAGATCTCTTGAGTTTGAGGCCAGCCTGGTCTACAGAGTAACTAGTCTGGGTTTTCTCATCTTTCTCTGAAGCACCCAACTTAACCTTCCACCACGTAGCTGAACATGCCAGCTTTCTTGGCCCTAACTCAAAAAGGCCTCTCTCTTTCTCTTTCTCCTCTTTCCTTCTTCTTTCTCATCTTCCTCCTCCCTCTTCCTCCTCCTCCTTCTTTTCCATTTTCCTCCTCCTGGCAGCTTCCAAGATTTATAGCTTGCTGGTCCTATTATCTTCCTTTCCAGATCTAATAAAATGGTCCTCAAGCTTCCTTCTAAATCTATTTTAAAATAATTTTAGTAAGGAAACTTTTGATGCTAGTTACTGGCCCCCAAGATCTGGCTACTCCCTGGATATACCTATCCTTGTTATGCAAACCTGCCTAAGACATACCTGATTGGTGGATTAAACAGCCTATATCTGGGTAGGGCATAATAGCGCAGGCGTGGCTAAAATCCCCTGGCTTTTGAGGACAGGAGAATCACAGGAAAGAGACAGACAGGAAGAGAAGAGGCAGAAGGATGCCTCGATGGCTTCGCATGGAGAACGGACCACATGGGCCAAGAGGAAGGAAGGACTCCAGGGATGGCGTGCATGTTGAAAACACCAAGATGAAAAATATAAGCAAGTATCTTGGGATTATCGATGGGACGTAGGCCAGATGAGGATGGTTAAGGTGGATGGCATTGGATGGGTGCTGGGAGATGGATGGTGGGGTTATTAAGACAGTGTAGGTAGAAATGTCTGCCCAGTCCAAGGTAAATAAGGCAATCATAGAATCTAACAGGTGTCTGTGTCTTATTATTTGTGATAGTGGGTTAGATAATATTGCCGTGATAATCTTAGGGCTAACAAATAACACTATATAGTCCAACACTGAGTTTTATTTTCTACAACAGGAAACCGAGGATACAAAAAGGAATCCCAATTTCCCCAGCAACAACCCCAGCGCTGCTAGGTGAAATGGGAGGCAGAGACAAAAGACACCCCAGAAATTTGAAGGCCCACTAGCCTGACTTACAAAAGCAGCAAACAAGAGACCTTGTCTCAAGCAAGGCGGAATCTGGGAAACACCCAATAAAGCTGTCGTCTGATCTCCACATGTATGCCCATACCCACACACAAACATGCACAAATGTACACAAAAAGAGAAAAAGGGGGGGGAGGAAAGTGAACAGATATAACCGACCAAGAAGATAAGAATGATGAAAATTTTATACAGTGAGTTTGAACGCAGTAAATGCATTCTGTAATACATTAAGAATACATAATACATATACAGTTGCAAAATTCTGCTTCTATATAGGTTTTTTGCTGTTGTTGTTATTGTTGTTTTGTTTTGAGACAAGGTTTCTCTGTGTGGACCTGGCTGTCCTGGAACTTGCTTGGTAGAAGAGGCTGGCCTCGAACTCAGAGATCTGCCTGCCTCTGCCTCCTGAGTGCTGGGATTAAAGGAGTGTACCACCACTGGCCAGCTTTTTATATAGGTATTTAGTTAGTTAGTTTTTCAGGACAGGGTTTCTCTGTGTAATCTTGGCTGTCCTGGGCTTGCTTTGCAGACCAGGTTGGCCTCGAACTCACAGAGATCTGCCTGCCTCTGCCTCCCCAAGTGCTGGGATTAAAGGTGTGCACCACCACCACCTGGCCAACTGTAATTCTTAAAACTTTAGGGGCTGAAGAGATGGCTCAGCGGTTAATAGCACTAGCTGCTATTCCAGGAGACCCCAGTTCAAGTCCTAGCACCTACATAATGGCTCATAACCATCTGTAACTCTAGTTCTAAGGAACCCAACATCCTTTTCTGGCCTCCGAATGCAGTACACAGACCTACATGCCGGCAAAACACCTATACCCATAAACTAATAGAAATTTAATTTTATTGATATATAGAATTAATACTTATATTAATATAAAATAAAAGGATTAAAAATTTTGTGGCTGGGGTGGAGCTCAGTGGCAGAACACCTATAGCCCCAATTTCAGCCTCCAGCACCAAGGACATGGTTTCCTCCTACCTGGGAATGTCCAGATGCTACTCCTGGAATCTGAAGAGGGTTGAAGGGCAAAGAGGAAGAACTCCAAGTCCGTGAGTTCACAAACAGGAATGTCTGTGGAGAGAGAAGATAAACACACAGAGTGAACTTCCGTAATAGAAGCAGTATCTGCTACAATACCTAATTACTCATTTATATCGAGGGCATCAGGGCTCACCAGGCAAAAATAATTTGGCATAGATTATTAGTTTTTAAAAAAGTGGCTTTGATGTGTTAGATCACTTTCTAAATAAATGAACATTTCCAGGGCATGGTGGAACACTCCCGGAATCCCAGCACTTGGGATGTGACAACAAGAGGACCGGGGGTTCGAGGCTAGCTTTAGCTAGTTAGTGAGTCTGAGAACAGCCTGCCTCAGATCCTGCCTCAAAAAAAAAAAAAGTTTAGGAAACATTGGCAACTGAGGCAGCAGGATGGAGATTGTGAACAAACTCAGAAGCTGGAGGAACAGGAGGTTTTATTGTTGGTTGATTGGTTGAGACACTGTGAGGCGCAGATGGGTTTCAAACTTCTGATCCTCCTGCCTCAGCCTCCACGGTATTAGGATTACAGGCATGTGCTACCATGTCCAGGAAAACTAGGAATCTGAGGGGGGAAAACTCTTTGTCACAATGAAAGCTCATCCGTTACCCAGTCCTGGGGAGCTGGGAGGGTCTGGGTGGAGCAAAGTTGCTCGTTCAGCTCTCAGGGTCCTCCAGAGCTATTTAGGGCACAGTCATGATCTAGTCCGTGGACAGCAGAAGAGAATTCAGAGCTACCAGAGAGCTAAGCCAGCTCAGTGCCCTACACGGCTTTTATAGGCTGATGAAATGTCGTATTTTGGGACAATCACCAAGTTCCACCCTTGCTACTACTCAGACACCTTTAGAACCTCCTCTTGGAAAACTAAAAAGTACATTTCCCAGACCCCTTTGCAGTTAAGTTCCTGCCATGTAAAACACGAATGAGTTTTGTTTTGTTTTTATGACAGTTTCAAGGCAGCTGGGCTGCTAACGTTGGCACACATGTTTACAGAAGCTTAACGACTGTCAAGACAGCACATTATTTTTTCATACTCGTATGCAAGTATCACAAATCTCATTATGTAAGCATTATGTTGACAACTGTAATTTTTTTTCTCTTCTTTTTGAAACAGGGTTTCTCTGTGTAGCCTTTGCTGTCCTAGAACTCTTTCTGTAGACCCAGGCTGGCCTTGAACTCACAGAGGTCAGCCTCACAGGTGCTGGGATTAAAGAGGTTGTACCACCATCACCCAGCTGAGCTCACAGAGCATTACTGTCCCCCTGTGGAGTTGCTTGAGGCAGGAAGAGCCTTAAACAAAAACATCCTAAGCGCCACTCTTGCCTTTTTTTTTTTTTTTTCATCTTCAGTCTTATGTGTATGGGTGTTTTGGCTCCACATGTCTGTGTACCATGTGTGTTCGGGGCCCGAGGAAGCCAGAAAAGGGAGTTGAATAATTTTTTTTCAGTTAAAGGGGTAATTTTACTATGTAGCCCAAGCTAGCTTCCAGTTATAATATGCCATACCCAGCCATGATTTTTTTGTTTGTTTGTTTGCTTTGTTTTCTCGAGACAGGGTTTCTCTTTGTAGGCTTGGCTTTCCTGGAACTCACGCTGTAGGCTAGCCTGCCTGGAACTCAACAAAGATCCATCTGCCTCTGCCTCCCAAGTGCTGGGATGCATGTGCCGTCGCTGCCCAGGCTGAATTTTTTAAGTATGTATAAATGGGCTGGGCGTGGCCGTGCAACACTTTAACCCCAGCACTCAGGAGGCAGAGGCGGGAGGACCTCTGTGAGTTCAAGGCCAGCCTGGTTACAAAGAGAGTTCCAGGACAGCCAGGCTGTTACACAAAGAAGCCCTGCCTCAAGGGGGGTAGGGGGAGGCATATATAAGTTTATAGCAAGAGTTTAATTTTTAAATTATAATAATTTATTATTGTGTGGTATGTTGTCCCCTGTGCACACCCGATGGTGGGCACCGAAGGTCAAAAGGTCACCGACTGGAAGGAATTGAGGGATCGAACTCAGGTCGTCCAAGCTGACGGATGTCTTCTCCCCCCAGACCTGTCTCACTGGCGTCCAATAACCATTTTATTGTTTTTCAATAATTTCTTTTTCAAACATGAAAATTATCTCAGGGCTAAAGAGACATCCCAGAGGACAAGAGTAGCTGTGGCTCTTCAAGAGGACCCAAGTTCGGTTCCCAGCATCTCCATCCAGAACGTCACCACTGCTAAGGCACAAGAGAAATGACTACAACACTGGGGGCTGGAGAGATGGCTCAGCAGTTAAGAGCACTAGCTGCTCTTCCAGATGCCACACAAGACAGCTCCCAATTCTCTGTAACTCCAGTTCCCGGGGACCCTCACAACAGGCATACGCGCAGCCAGAACACCAACGAATGCAAAGTAAAAGTAAATTAATTAAAAAAAAAAAAAAAAAAGAAGAAGAAAACCTCCAAAATTATACGCAAAGCAAGCGAACCAATAGCTGAGTGTGCCTAGGACCAACTTACAAGGCTTCTGCGCCTTTGCACCCCACGGTGCATGCAAATGTCCCGTACTATGCTTCAGCTGCAACGGTTTGCGCTCCCAGAAGAAAACTGAAATAATACAGGGAAAGACACTGCCTGAGAATGAAGGACAGGAAAACCTTAATTCAAATCCCAGCACTCAGGCGCGGATCTTGCTTGAATAAGAGGGTTTACAGAGTTACAGGCAAAAATGGCATTCTGCCTCAAAAACCCAAAATGAACCAAAAGGGGGCAGGGAAGGCTGGTAAAGGGCTATTTGGCATGCACGAAGCCCAGGGTTGATCACCGGGGTAAGACTTGGAGTGGTTGTACACAGCCAGAAACCCAGTATTGAGGAAAAGGCAGGGAGATTTGGAGTTCAAGGTCTCCCGTGCCTGCATAGCAAGGCTGAGGCAAACCCGGGCTACTTAAGACTGTACCTTCCTGAGCTACACAGCAACAGGAGATGAAGAGCTCCAGAAAGCCTGAGACTGTCAAACATGCCTCTGGCAGGCCTTGCTCTTCCTCCTTCCCTCTCCCTTGCAAACCACAGGTCACATCTCTACTTAGCCAGCAAGTGTCTAAGTGTCCCCTTAGTTGGGTACTTCATTATGCCAGACTCATTCCTTGAGACAGGTTTTCTCTGTATAGCCTTGGCTGTCCTGGAACTCATTCTGTGTAGACAAGGCTGGCCTCGAACTCACAAAGAACAGCCTGCCTCTGCCTCCTGAGTTGCACCACCACCACCAGGCTCCCTTCTTCCCCTTAAAAAACACACCGGCAAGGTCATCTGCTGCTGTTCTCTGCCTCAGTCAGAAAGCCACCACTTTACTTTTCTTCCCCACTTAATAAAGTTTCTCTCTGTGAAAAGAGGTGTTGGGTACACTCTGTGCCTAATCCGGGAGTCCAGGCGGGAGGACACTGCTGTGTGCAGGTCCTTTCAGGAAGTCCTCAGTACTCTAGGTACCCCACAGCTTGATAACATTTAGTACTATTTACAGTAACATAGTATTCTGCATCAAAAAAGGATTCTTTTCTGCATACAGGACTATGTCCCAGGTGTGGAATGCCTTCTGGATTTTTTTTTATTTTTATTTTTAGTAGACTCGTCTTAATTGGAAACATTTACCATATCTCTTACAGGTTAAATATCTACAGTAGTTCCGAAGAGGACTGCAGAATTCAAAATTCCTGTTAGGGTCAATGATCTTTTTGTTGTTGTCATAATAATTTATTCAGTTGTATTTTATTTACATTGGTGTTTTGCCTGCATATATGTCTGTGTGAGGGTGTCAGGTCCCCTGGAACAGGAGTTATAGACAGTTATGAGCTGCCATGTGAGTGCTTGGAATTGAGCCCGGATACTCTGGAAGAGCAGCCAGTGCTCTTAACCACCAAGCCATCTCTCTAGCCCCCATCAGTGATCTTTTAAGAGGTGGTTGGTAAAAACAATCACATATTTTTAGGAACCATTAAGTCTGAAGGTCTTTGGAATAGAAAGAAAAGTCGTGTAGACTGAAGACCTGGGTGACAAGGAAAACCTGAATGAAGCTTGTGGTCTAGAAAACCATCTTTTCATACCATATGCAACACTGATCTAGGCCTTAACATGTTGGTCTTAGCAAAAACCCTTCCTCCTGCCTGTGAACTAACTGGAACACAATGGTGTTCTTCGAAGGGTGAACATATTGTGATTTCTTGGAAAATTAAGAATTAAGTCCAGAAACAGTTTAAGAGCTGTGCTGTAGGAAGCTGTGCCTCCTCCAAGCTCCTGCTGAAATTCACTCACAGAGGAAGTTATTAGGCCATGGGGGGAAGGGTCCTGCCCTCATGGATGGGATTAAAATCCTGATAAATAATGAGGACACAGCATTGTCCTCATTATGTATGTGGCAACAAGGTGCCATCCTGGAAGCAGAAAGCAGCCTTCATCGGTCGGGGCCCCATCGCCTCCTTACTCTTCCACTTCTCAGCATCTATAGGTGTAAGAAATAAAGAGGTATTCTTGTTTTGTTGTCCGAGACAGGGTTTCTCTGTGTAGCTCTGGCTGTAGACCAGGCTGGCTTCAAACTCACAGAGATCCTCCTGCCTCTGCCTCCCGAATACTGGGATTAAAGCCTCACAGCCCCGAAATATCTGTTCTTTATGTTATCCAATCTTGGGTAATCTAAACAGCACATATGGGCGACAGGCTCTAAAATGGGAAAGTTTAGAATTAACTCTCAGAGCGTTTAAGAGGAGCTGGAGAGATGTCTCGGTGGCTAAGAGCACTGGCTGTCACTCCAGGTGACATGGGTTCAATCTCTACTACCCACGTGGCGGGCGGCTCATAGCCATCTGTAACTCCCACCCAAGGGGAATCCAACACTCTCATCTGGTACAAGGCATGAACTTGATTCACCGGTACACATGCAGACAACACACACACACATTTATGTGTGTGTATACATACATACATATGCACGCACACATACACATACACACACACACACACACATCTCTTAAATAA